ATAATAATCAAATGCAATTTTTCCATCATAATTTTTTTTTTATGGGAAGATCAAATAATGAATTCGCTTCAGGACGATTTATAGCTTCCCTGCAAATTATGAACAAAATTAACGAAATTAAATGTCAATAAATAATAAACAACATTTTAAATAAATAATAATTAAATTGCATAATGTCATATTTTTAAAATAATTAAACAATTTAAAATGAAAATTATTTACAACTTTTCATTAAATAAATTTGTCTTTTTCCATATGATAGTTTGGAGACACTTTTGCATGCACTAAAGAAGTCAATAAAACACAGAAAAAATGTAGTAGAAAAAAAATGAAAATGAGATTGAAAGAATGTACCAGAACAACTTTTTAGGAGCATTAATTAGTGAAAAATTAATTTTTCCATAAAAATGAAGATGAACTGGTAGATGACAAACTGCATAATTCCAACAAATCTCAAAATGTTTACACAGTATGTTAATAATCTCTAATCTACACTAACACTCTATAATTCACAGATTTTCACCCAAAATCACAAACAAATCATACAAACAATAACCGGGAATAAAAACTGCAAAACTAACAAAATATCATTTTGAGTCCTTACATGCGATAAATTTCTAAGTAAAATAAAGTAAAAGGAAAAGCGTAATATGCGAATATATAATAGTTATGAAAATCAAATAATCCATTAAATATTTTTTTACAACCGCACATTATGAAAGGGATCGTATCATCCTCTACGAAAATATAGGACAGAAAAATAGAAAGGCAAAAAATAAATTTTTTTAATAAAATAAAGTGATGTAACAAATTTAAAGTCACGTAGCGAAAATTGAAATAAATGAATGAGTGAATTTACAGACAAATGAAACAAAACGAAAGACTAAATGTGACTTCCTGTGTCATGCGTATGAATGCACGTGTGAACCACAAATTGGGATGCACTTAAAAAAAAAACTATTTCTTATATCATGGACACACCAAAAATAAATTTAAACAAAATAAAAACACTGTATGTGCTTTTATTATCAGAAACACAGAGACAGAGGGATAAAAACGTTATGGTGGAAACGATGTGTTTCACGTTTGAATCATCCTGGAATTGAAATAGTCAACCTTATAAACCAGAAAGACGTACTTAAAAATAGAGTTAGATTTGTATGTAGTGAGGCGGAGAAGAACACAAATTTCAGTGAAGTAACGCGTTCTTAATTAACGAATTAGGGCCCCATTCACGCTACTAAATTAATTTTTTCATTTTTTTTCCACTTTTTATTCCATTGATATTTTATATTATTTATTTGACATATTAGAAAAATTTTAAATAAAAGTCACCATTAAGAATATGTTCATGATTCACGTTAAATTTCAAAACTTTGCTTTAATTTTATTTAACAACCATAATATGTACCATTAAATAATAACAATAAATTTTTTATAATTAAATTAATTACATATGTTTATGTAATTAATAAACTGAATGTATTTGTCAAGTTTAACCTTTTTTTACAATTATTTTTTTTTGGTGTATTATTTTTACAAAGAATTTAATTTTACTCAAGTTATTAAAAATGAAAATTTTAAATATCTCTATTTTCTAAATTGATTTTTTTCCCTTTAAAGTTATAAAAAAAATCATATTTAAAGTTACTATCTTAATACATTTAAAAATTTAAATATATAACTATATTTTAATACAAATTCAAATGTAATATATGACTAAGTTTAAAGTTTAAATCTTAAATTTTAAATTTTAAATGCTAAATTACGAATTTTAAATTTTAAATTTTAAATTTTAAATTTTAAATTTTAAATTTTAAATTTTAAATTTTAAATTTTAAATTTTAAATTTTAAATTTTAAATTTT